AAAGTTAGTTTGAGCGTTTATGACTACAAGCATAATGGAAAGTTTATACAAGCATACGATACAAACGGTAAGCGTGTTTCATTAGCTTTGTCAAAACTTACAGGTATAAACTATGACAGTGATTTTGACCTATATGAAGAAGAAAGTGAGTCAGAAGATTATGAGCTGTTATATGAAGCACAGCAATGGGAGGAGTTGCAATACTTTTGTAAGTGAGAACGTTTATTTTTACATTAGTGAAGTCGTTTGTGAAAACATTAGTGAATTCGTTAGTGAGAACGTTAGTGTTGTCGTTTGTGTTGTAAAATATACGTTACTGGTTTTGTAAAGTGTCAAATTCACATATAATGGGTAAGTAGGTGCGCAGTGCCACCGTACACTTGATATGTATACTAACTACATATCCTGAAGTTAACAGAGACTTAAGTTCTGTTGCAGATATTCGAAATGACTACACAACTGAAAGACAACTTCAAACTCAGGAGAAGATTTGTCAAGCTTTAAGTATAATGTTAAACTTGGTCGAACACAACCCTGTAAAAGTGAACTCATATGTCATTGCACCTCATGAAGTTTTGAAAGAACTATTGAAACTTTTGACAGAGGCAGACGATATAACATCAAAAGAAATAGAACCCGACATTGGTTGCTGTGGTGTTTCATATAATGCCATTGACAAGATATACGTTATGAAAGGAGGTGAAACGTTGAACTTAAAGTATAGTTTCCCAGACGTTATAAAAATATTTGACGACCAAACATTTCATTAAAGTTTATTTGCTAAGTAAATGGCAGAAGACATAATGGTTTTATACTATTTACGACTAAAAACCCTGAGTCATATAATTCTATAACAACAAACTTACAAAGTCCTCAAGGACGATATTGTAAACTAACCTTAAACACAATGACGACTAAAGCCTGTTTTGCTCTTTTGACACCAGAAGACTTTATTGTTGTGAATGGTAAAAAATACTCCTTTGAAGATACTTACTCAGATATACCACCAACAGGTTTTGTTGACTTATTTAATACTTTAAGTACGGGTGTAACATGTGCTGCAACTAGAGCAGGTTTCATTATGTTTGGATGTCCGACTGAGTTTACTATAAACTGATATGAGCTATAATACAAAACTTATTTCTGGTTTTTTACTACCAACAGTTTCCTATAACAGGAAAAGGGGGTCATACAAGGAATGTCTATTCCATTGACATTAAGCACACCAATCTTATATATTGTTTCAAACTTAGGTTCAAAGTGTTATTCGAATGTCGACAGAAACTATTATGACCAAAAGATACTTATGCGTATAAACAATACTTTCTTGCTGGTTTGCCTATTGTTCATTCGAATGCAGAATTTTCAACCTTAGTGAACTCAAACACTTTGGCAAAGTATAACGTTGACATTAGTTGACGCAAACCTTTGTTCCTGTAAAACTTTTATGTCCTATGTATTTGTCAATGACGGCAGAAAGTTTCGAATTGGAAGATGCAACTGGTGAAAGTATTGTATTACAAGAACAACTTCAACAACAAATAGCTCAAGAACAACAAATGCAACAATGGAACAAAAAGTCAAGAATAAAAAAATAATATTTTTTTTATTTTTATAAAAATGTACAGAATAGATGTTTCAGATTTTTATGACTTCCAAGCATTCAGAAATATGTGTCCATTTAGAGACTATAACAAAGCAGTCGAGAATTTGAAACGTTTAGTCATTTATGTTGACTCTGCCCCAGAATGTTATGTCATGAAAGAATGGGATGTTGTCTTTAACAAACCAGAGCAACAATAGTTTCAGAACAAGAATGTAGACAGAAACTTAAGAAAATAAAAGTCGTACAAGTTGGCATGAAGATGTTAGATGCTTGGGATATCTTATTGTCAAAGTTAGAAGATTTTTCAGTTCGAGGTATAAAGTTTTATACACCTTCTCCAAACTTCTATTCTATCTTCACTGGATATAAATATGAACAAGTAGAATGGAAAGAAAATGTTATAGAAGCTTGGTTAGACCATGTCAAAGAAATTATATGCAATGGAAACGAAAAAGTTTATGAGTATATCTTATGTTGGTTTGCAAACATCTTACAACATCCAAGTGCTAAAAATGAAACTGCTCTCATTATAATTGGAAAACAAGGAACTGGTAAGAATACTTTCTTTACAGATATCTTGTGCAAACTGTTAGAAGGTTATTCGAATCCGAATATGACAAACTTAGAAAACATCTGTGGCAAGTTTAACTCCTCAATAGAGGAATATGAAACTTATAGTTTGCAATGAACTTCAAAGTATAGATACAAAAAGTTTTGAACTCAAATGCTTTGAAGAGTCTTATAACAGACAAAGTTGGAGTTGTTGAAAGAAAGTATAAAGACCAAAGAGTTTGTGAAAATGTTGCAAACTTCATTATGGTTTCAAACAATGCTGTTCCGATGAAGTTAGAAAGTTCTGACAGAAGATATGTAGTTGTCAGAACGTCAGATTCTCATATGCAAGATACAGAATATTTTGACGACTTAGCAGAAACTTTGACATCTGACTTTTACAACCACTTGTTCTCATATTTCATGACATTAGATATTTCTAAGTTCAATCCAAGACAAATTCCACATACCGAAGAGAGACAAACATTGTTAGAAGCAAACAAGAGTGTATATGAACTGTTCATAGATGAAACTGACTTTGTGTCATTAGATGAAAGGTCATTGTACGATTCGTATAAACAATATTGTCAAGAATATGGTTATATGACAGCGTCTAAACGTACATTCTTGGCAAATGTCAAAAGTCTTTTAGATGTTCAGAATGGTGTATATACAAAGAAAAATTTTTCTGAGTAAATTTTATAAAAAAATATTTTTTTATCCGATAGAAAAGATGACAAAATTCATCTCAGTAAACAAGTACATGTCAGGACTTAAAGAAGAACTAGACCCATTCACATATTTGAATGTTTACTTCTACCATTTTGAAAAGTCTTCATTCAGCAAAGTTTGGAACATCGAACCAGTTAAGTTTGCTATTGTGACTAAAAATGGTGCGAAATTTGAAGACTTAGACATAGAAGGTTTGTTAGCAGTCAAAGAAAGTTTTGACAGAAGGTTCTCAAACCTTAAAGAAGGCAAAGCATACAAACTTGTTATACCTTATGAACCAAAGAAGACAGACGACTATGAATATTATGAGTCTAAGATAGTTGAAGTTCAAGGTAAATTGGGTAAAAAGATTTTAGAGTCTAAGCCAGTGTTTGCTCCTAAAGAGGAAGAGAACATTGACATTGACCCAGAAATGTTCTAAAAATAAAATTTTATTTTTACATGTCAAATTTCTTTTTCTCTGGAACTGGTTCAGGTTCTTTCTTCTCTTCTTCTACTTTCTTTTCTTTCTTTTCTCTCTTCTTCTTTTCTGGTGGAGTTATGTCAAATTTGGTGCAACCATATTTATGTAAAAGTTCTTTGTCCTTTAATAGCTCATCTATTCTGTTTTCTATTTCATCTTCAAGAACAGCGCATGTGTCTTCTTTGCATTCTAAGAACTTTTGTTGGACTTCATCTTTCCAATCGGCGTCATCTCTGTCAACAAGTCTGTCATTGACAAATTTTAAGACTGCTCTGCTTAATGTTTTATGGTTCTTGTCATATTCCCAGAAACAGAACTTTAGAACAAATTCACCCTTCTTGTTTACACTATGTAAGATTTTATGGTCGACAGATGTTTTGCTGTCGAAAAGTTTGTCTCGAATATAGATAGCGAAATCGCTAGACATTTTCTAAAAGATAAAAATTTTAATTTTTCTAAAAATATGTTAGAAAAAAAGTTTGCTGACATTGACAAGAAATTTGAGAATGTTTTAAACAAGAACAAGAGGAAGTTAGAAAATGCTCAGATAAAGCCTATACATGACAAGTTCTTATTTGCTCAGAATGGTATAACAGGTCTAATTGCACCACCTGGGTCGGGTAAGACTTTCACTTATCTTAAAATGGCTGCACAACAACAAGAACTAGATGAGAAGAACCCATTCTATGAGTTAGTTGTTATTTGTAGTACTTCTGGTCAATTTGACCAAACCGTCAATTCGTTCAAAGATATTATAAAGAAGTCTAAGTTAGTATGTATAAAGGATACTGAGTTGTTAGATTGGATAAAGAAGTACCAAAGAAGAGTTTTGAAGTATAATGCTATAAATGAGTATGTCAATTCGAAGTTTAAAGACCCAAATGAGGAAATGCAGAGAATATTAGAGAAGAAACACTTCAGAAACAAACAGAAAGAGATAGAATACATTTCGAAGAAATTGCAATCTTACGATTGGAAGACTTACCCTCATAGATGTCTTCTTATCTTAGATGACTTTGCTTCTCATCCTTTGTTAAAGAACAGAGAACAAGATATGTGTCGAATTCTCAAGAAACTTAGGCACTTTAACATCTCAGTTGTCATTTGTGTACAGACAGCAAAGAGTTTAAGTAAGGATGTTAAAAGAATACTTACTGACATTATACTTTTCCCCGGATTGTCCGAAGACGATTTCATGGAACTTATGAAAGAGTCCATGGCAGGTAAGTTTGACAGACATGAACTATGGGAGAAGTATAAAGTCATACAAGACCCTCATACTTCTTTCAGAATTCATATCTACGCGAACAAAGTTCAAATTGTAAAAAGTCAAGCTTGAAAAATCTAAGTGTTTAGTCTTAGTAAGTCTGTTGTGGTGCTGGGGCTGTCGGTTCTTCTGGCTTTGGAAGGCATTCAGGAAGAGGAACGTCAGTCATCCGTTTGTGTCCTGTCGGAAGGAAAAATTTTTCCTGTCGGAAGGAAGAGTTCTTCCTGTCGGAAGGAAAATTTTTTCCTGTCGGATGGAAGAGTTCTTCCTGTCGGAAGGAAAATTTTTTCCTGTCGGATGGAAAAATTTTTCCTGTCGGAAGGAAAAACTTTTTCTGAAGTTCGACCAAAAAGTTCTCAATTTTCGAAAATTTGAATGGTTTACGGACGGACAACTGGAAGAGTTCTTCCTGTCGTCGGGAAAATTTTTTCCAGTTGTCGGGAAAATTTTTTCCTGTCGGATGGAAGAGTTCTTCCTGTCGGAAGGAAAATTTTTTCCAGTTGTCGGGAAAATATTTTCCTGTCGGATGGAAGGACTCGGAATGCCAGAAGGATTTGACGAGGCAATTTACCTAATTGAGCTACCTGAGCCATCTGAAGTCAAGCGTAAAAATAAAGAGTGCAATTTACTCTACTTGTTTGAAGTTGTCAAAATACTCTGTTATTTTTTCCTTTAACAATGGCAAATCTTCTTTGAAGGTAAGAATTGTACAACCTTTAATATCATAGTGTGTTTGAGGTAACGTATCTTGAACTATTTGTTTCACATCTTCATTTGGGGTCATTGAAATCGGTAAGTTTTCGCGATAGAACCAATTTCTGTCAGATTTGTAAATCTTAGCAAGGTCGTAAAAGCTTTTGTTGTTTCTTCTGACTAAATGCAACATAACCATATCTTTATCTTCTTCATTTTCCATCTCTTCAGTATAAATCATATACTTATAGTTCTTTTCCTTACCTTTTGGTACCGAACGTGGTATTCTTTTCTGTATGCTTTTGTCTTTTGCTTCAAGCTTGTTTTCCATCTCTTCACGTTCTTGTCTATGAATTTCGTCAAGAAGTCTGTAAATATACCAAGCATAACGAGGCGAAGCCCACATTGCAACAGCATTTACAAGAAGTCTATGTACATAATATCCTCTCAAACCGTTTGGCAATTTTTCACGATTTTCATAGAGTTTTGGCGACTGGGGTTTTTTACCTACTCGCTGTTCTTCACTGTTTTCAGAAAAAAGTATGTCTCGCTGTGCTTCGCTCAAAAGTTCTTGTGTGCTTTGGTTCCTAAACCAGTCTTTAGGAAGCTTAGTATCTGGAGCATAACATGCTGTCAAAATACTTTGCATTTGGTACATATCGTCTTTGACTGAACGAATGAGACGTAACTGTTTGTTATACTGTATGTATTCGTATTCTTCATTTATAGCTTCATGGACTATAACTGTTGTTGTGTTCTCTGTTGTTGACATATCTGTCTTTACATACAAAATAAAAAAATAAATAAAAATAAAACTAACTTTATTTTTTATATCTTAAGGAAATTCATGAAATTTGGTCATTTTTCAATAAAAATATATTTTAGGTGAAGCCCACATTGCAACAGCATTTACAAGAAGTCTATGTACATACCAACCTCTCAAACCATTTGGCAAATTTTTACGATTTTCATGAGTTTTAGGCGACCCCGAAAAAAGTCTGTCTCGCTGTTCTTCACTGTTTTCATAGAGTTTTGGCGAGTAAGATTTTTTACTTACTCGCTGTTCTTCACTGTTTTCATAGAGTTTTGGCGAGTAAGATTTTTTACTTACTCGCTGTTCTTCTCTCGGTTTTCCGAGGGAAGCAAGCATATGAGGAAATTCATGAAATTTGGTCATTTTTCAGCAAAAATATATTTTAGGTGAAGAGGTGAGATCTCACCTGTTTTTTCACCTCTTTTCTAACATCGAAGAATTTTGTGCTGAATTCAATAAAAATAATGTTTAGGTGAAGAGGTGAGATCTCACCTGTTTTTTCACCTCTTTTCTAACATCGAAGAATTTTGTGCTGAATTCAATAAAAATAATGTTTAGGTGAAGAGGTGAGATCTAACACGTTTTCTAACCTCTTTTCTAACATCGAAGAATTTTGTGCTGAATTCAATAAAAATAATGTTTATGTTAGCATGTTAGATCTAACACGTTTTCTAACCTCTTTTCTAACATCGAAGAATTTTGTTGCTGAATTCAATAAAAATAATGTTTAGGTGAAGAGGTGAGATCTAACACGTTTTCTAACCTCTTTTCTAACATCGAAGAATTTTGTTGCTGAATTCAATAAAAATAATGTTTATGTTAGCATGTTAGATCTCACCCGTTTTCTCACCTGTTTTCTAACATCGAAGAATTTTGTTGCTGAATTCAGTAAAAATATATTTTAGGTGAAGAGGTGAGATTTCACCTGTTTTTTCACCTAATTTTTCACCTCAGTTATTTTATAAGCGTTTTACATGGTAAACGTTATTTTTTAAATTTTGTGAAAACTCAACGGTTTGACACAAGCCATATGCCATTTTACTCAGAATTTTGTGCTGAATTCAGTAAAAATAATGTTTAGGTGAAGAGGTGAGATCTCACCCATTTTTTCACCTGTTTTTTCACCTCTTTTTTTCACAAGCGTTTTACATGAATTGTACGATGTATATTTGAAATCCTAAACAATTTCGTAGCTTCTATTTCTTCTTTTAGTACATCGAATGTTTTAACTATGCCGAAGGTTTCTTTATACTTCTTCTTGACGTCAGATAATAGGAAATCGTCAGCAGTTGGATAGTTTTTGTTCAGAAATTCTAACATGTCCATTTTATCTTCTGCTGGCTTTTCTGCTTCTTTCTTTAAGTCTGCATAGTCGTTTCTCATACGTTCTATCTCTTTGACGGAGTAGTTATATTTCCTAATTGCTGCTTTACATTTAGAACATTGCGGGTTCATTTTTGCGTTATACATTGAAATAAAACCAGCTAAAACAACTAAGGCGTCAATGGTTTTCTTTAACTCAAAAGCTGCTGGTTTTATCTGTTCATTCCATACCTTACCTCTTCTATCTTTATCTCTTATCTGCCATACACATTCTGCAACTAATGAAACAAAGTTGTCGTAGGTCTTAAATTCTTCAGATTTATATATGTCAGAAATATTTTTATAAACCATGTCGCAATCTTTGTCCATAACCTTATGGTTGCAATGAAAACCAAGGAATTCATAATTTACCCTTCGTATGAACTTCTTTATTTCTACTGAGTCAGTTGGTTTGACTTCAATTTCGTCAAATTCAGGAATAGTGAGTTTTTGTTGTTGGATTTCAGGTAGTTTAGGCAAATGGTCAATAATGTCCTGCATTTCATAAAGATACTGTTCATTTTCTTCATCCTGTGCGGTACAGTCTAAATTACTTGTTAAAAGTTCTTGCTTTATCTTCTGGATTTCTGTTTCAAAAGTATATGAAGAAGGAATAAAGCTTTTCATCTCTACCAACATTGACGTTGGATTCATAACTAAAGAGTTTGGTGCTGTTGTTGCTAACATGTTCTTACAATAAAAATAAAAAATATTTTTTAAAAAAAACTAACTTTATTTTTTCTATCTTAAGGAAATTCAAGATTTTCGAGAGTTTTAGACCATGTTATAAAACAGGTGAAAAAACGGGTGAGATCTCACCTCTTCACCTAAACATTATTTTTTGGTGTAAATTTCATGATTTTCGAGAGTTTTAGACCATGTTAGAAAAAATGTTAGAAAACGTGTTAGATCTAACATTCTAACATAAACATTATTTTTTGGTGTAAATTTCATGATTTTCGAGAGTTTTAGACCATGTTAGAAAAGTGGTTAGAAAACGTGTTAGATCTAACCATCTACCCGACATTCTCGTCAAATACAAAAAAATGAAGAATAACTTTCACTTTTTCATTATATAACTGTTATTTTTGACGAAGTGAAGTTTGACACTTCGTCAAAAAAATCCCTGAAATCATATCTTACATACAAAAAAATGAAGAATAACTTTCACTTTTTCATTATATAACTGTTATTTTTGACGAAGTGAAGTTTGACACTTCGTCAAAAAAATCCCTGAAATCATATCTTACATACAAAAAAATGAAGAATAAATAAAATAAAACTAACTTTATTTTTTCTATCTTAAGGAAATTCTGTATAAAATTCATGATTTTCGAGAGTTTTCTACGATGTTAGAAAACAGGTGAAAAAACGGGTGAGATCTCACCTCTTCACCTAAACTTTATTTTTGCTGAATTCATGAGTTTTGGTTGAAAGAATACGGTGGAGCCAAAAGTGGCTCGACCTCAAAACAAGCATTTTGTGAAGAATATAGCAACAGTCTGAATTCAGACGGTTGCTTTTTATACAAAATTCAAGAGGGTGAAAAATGAGGTGAAAAAACGGGTGAGATCTCACCTCTTCACCTAAATTATATTTTTTGGTCCGGGAACAACTTTCTCAGTAAACCTTAACGTTTAACTTCACTTTTTTATGTTTTTTGTGAAAGTGTCAAAAATAAATTGTTTTCATGAGTTTTCTACGATGTTAGAAAAGTGGTTAGAAAACGTGTTAGATCTAACATGCTAACATAAACATTATTTTTCAATACTTTTTCAGCACTTTTCCGTAGTTATATATGAAAGACAATTCGAGATAAAAGTCATAGTACAATGGAATAATATGTTGCACACCATTTGTTGTGAACCAAACTTGAAAGTCAGAGAAACTGTTACTAGGTGGTTCGTAGAATTTAGAAGCAAAGTCATAAAAGTCCTTACCAATACATAGAAAACTATTGTTGCTTGAACTGAAACTTGCATGACACATAACATTTTGAGGGTCAAACACGTTTCTATAAACTGTCAAATCTGCTGGTGGAAGTATAAATTGAAATGGACCATCTGGTGGTAATGGTTCGTTCTGGTTTAGTAACCGAAGAAATTGTGCCCAAGAACGTTTGTCTACTTCCCAAAATAAAAACTCTGTATCTCTTGGAGGGTTAATTTCAATCTTTTGAAATGAAACGGTGGAGTTCATCTTGTCATATTCTAGTTTCAGATAGTATGTTCCATTTAGTAAAGAGTCGTATTTTTCTTGAAATTCCCAATAATATTTGTTCATTTGAGTTTGAAAGTCATTTAGAGTTTTCTCAAGACTTTCGTCTGAACGAACTGTAAAGATTTTCATTTCGTCAAATTTGTCTATTAGACCATCAGAACCTTTATACTGCCCATGAAAATATACTACGAACATAAATGCGTTAGTTCTATTTGAAAACAAAACTCTTCTAAATCCTATTGCCTTTGCATCTGAAGGACTTTGAAGCCAACGAATTGGATAGTCAAACCTGTATGCTCGGGATGAAATTTCTTCATCTGAAATAGTCCTACCAGCATTTGTAAAGATATAGTCTAACGGTTTTGTATCTGCTACTTTTGTTCTTTGTTTTTCAACCTGAAGCATTTAATATATGTAAAAATATATTGTTTTAAAATGGTATGCCATTTCATATTTCTCATCTAACAAACAAGTTTCCCAACGGTCTTCTCCAACAAACTCAGCGTACATTTCAAATAAAATAAAAAAATGTCACTTTTTTAAAATAAATTTTTTATTTCATGCAATGTTTTATTTCTGTGCCGTCTTCAAGTATGCCCCAGTACTTACGCTTGGAGAGGACATGAACTTCGGAAAATACCTTATCTAGCTTAAAACAGCCCATCTTCTCACCGACTAAACCCATTTCAATGAGTTTGTTGTATCCTTCTTCGTTCGTCATGAGTGCGTCAATGTTCTCATAGTAAACCTTGACTTTGGATTTGACTTCGGAGAAGAATTTGTTGTAGTTGTCAAGGACTGCCTTTGCGAACTGAGGGTAAGACCAATGTTCGACAATAGGTTTTAATGTGGTTACTAAGCCACTTTGACCTTGAGTGAATTCGTACTTCAAAACAAAAGGGGAAAACCTTTCAACAAAGTTGTCCACCTTCTCATAATGTTTACTCTTCATCTCTTGAGGTTTCTTAATGGAATATCCCCATGTCGAATTCATAAGCAATTTGAGTGTCATTGCAAGTTTGGGGTTTGAAGCTTTCCTAATATCATACAGTTGTTGTATGACTTTTCCAACTGTATAGTTCCTTCCCGGGAACTCACCATCTTCGTTTGGAATTCCAGTCGGAATATATTGGACAAACCTCATGTACGCAGCGTTAAGGTCGACATAGTATATCTTTTCGTTTGAGTCGAACTTGTCGCAACCAATTGGTCCAGTTTGTGGAAATTCAAGTGAGTCTCTTATCTTCTGAGAAACTTCTCCTGTTATCTCATAAACATCGTCGAAGCAACCTGTTTCATATAAAACCTTCTGACCTAACTCAGATGCTCTCCAATACAATTTGACGTCAATTGGATGTCTCAATGGAAGTTTGTTTATAGCATCTTGAAGTTCTTGCAACCTCATTGGAAGTTCTTCTGGTTCAGGTTGGTATCCGAACAATCCAACTCCTTGTGGAATTGTGTACTTCTTTTGTACTAGAACTTTGTCTGGAACAACTTTTGGTCTTGCTAACAATGAAAAGTTTGTTTCGTCTTTTGGTACAAAAGTTTCTGTCAGCTTGTCATCTGGAATTGGTTCCAACAAACCTTTCTCGAAAAGAATGTTTACAGCTCTGACAATGTTGCACTTGCCTTTTCCGAACAATGGGTTTGTAAGACTTTCGTTCAACATGAAGTGGTTGTGGACAATTACAATCTTCAACCATGGTAAATTGAACTCAACAACATAGTCGTCATGTGAAGAACCTTTAGCTGTAGGTATGTTGACTCGGATATTGACATTTGCCAACGGTGCAATTTTTGCCAATTGACCTCTGAGAATGTACCTTGTCTTCACACATGACTCAAGATACTTCATCTTCTCTTCTGTAACAAGACCAGAGTTCCTGAGACATGTAAGAATGCAAGGTTCATTGACAATTGTTTCAATTGAATTGTAAATTCCATACCTTGTCAAGTCAATGTCAGACTTATTTATGAACGGGAAGTATCCAGCATGTTGTCTGACTGCTTGAGGGTTAGGTTGGTACCATTCGAACTTGACACTTGCAATTCCTTCAATTGCATTCAAAATGTCTGAGTCGGAGTCAACCATTTGTTCTCTCTTTGTAGTCTTGAAAGCGTCAAGAAGTTTTGCGGCTGTTTGTTCATTGCCATGTGCATAGTAAATGTGACCATCCAAATCTGTTATGGTCAATCTGAGATTGTGTCCTTTCTTATTTCCGTCTTGTATGGCAGCAAGTACTCCCATGAAGCCTTCTTTGTTCTTTCCTTCGTCAAAGTTTACTGTAAAGGTTCGACCAGATGTAATTTGACTTCTAACTTCACGATACTTTTCATATGCATATCTTGTTCTTTCCATGGGAGCATGACCATCCTCTGCACTACCTTTTTTCCTTCTCAAAGGATGCAATTGTTCGTCATGTTTCCAGTAGAATCTGGCAAAGCCGTCGTGTCCTTCAACTTGAGGTTCACTAACATCGAAAGGCATGTCCATAAGACGTTCTTCTTCTAACCTCTCTAGTCTGTTTGGATAATTGGCACGTGCTGTTTCCAAATCCATTTCGTAGCGAAGACCAGACAATTTGTCATAGACTTTTATGGGTCTTCCCTTCCTATATTTAAAATTCTTCGAAACTCTCCAACCATATCTTTGTAACTCTGCTTTTATTCTAGCAGACTTTCTATCCATTCTATATGGGGGCATTTTTATAAAAATAAAAAAATATTTTTTTTCTTTACTTAACATAACCGCCTGCTGCCATAAGTCTTTGACGCCAACCCATACCAGCTAATGAAGGTTGACTTGGTTTAGTTTCCAAACTAAACTTTGGTTTTGGTTTATCTTCAGTTTTTGGTTTTTCTTCTTCTATCGGTTTTTCGTCACTTTTCGGTTCCTCTGACTTTACTTCACTTGCAGGAACAGTTGTGTCGTCAACATCTTCATAAATATCATATGCCATTTGTTTTTGTTTTCCTTTCAACTTTTTGTGTTTGTTGTAAAGTTTAGAATATTTCGACTCTAAGTCAATGAGATGTTCTATAATGAACTGTTGGTCAGTGAAGTAAACTTTTCCATCTGTTGTCTCGAAAGCTCCTTCAGACTTCAATATTTTATTTGTGAGAGTCTGTTTCTTTTTTGAGATACTAGCCGTTCCATTTTTATGAAAAGTGACTTTGTAGTTAGGGTTTGTATTTCCAGACCTGGCACTTTCTATTATTGAATTTTTCTCTTCATCTGTAAGTTCTTTGATGGGTTTTGACAATGGTTCTGAACTTTTTGTTTGTGGTGTCAAATCTACCGTTTCAACTTCTTCGGTCATTTCATCTCAGTAAAAAATTTTAGTTTGGTTTGTTTTCAACTGGTTGTTGTTGTTTTTTAAGTCGGTCTAAAACTTCCTGAGGTATAGGAAGAACTTGACAAACACGTGGTGTAACTGCTGGAAGCCGACAAATCCATCTTGAACTTATTTGTCTCAATGCTGCATTGTTCATTTCATCTCAGTAAAAAACTTTACATTCCCCAAGTTAGTATGGTTAAGTCGTGTATGGTGGCACTGCGCGCCTCCGTACACAACTTAGCTGTTTTGACACTTTACAAAACCGTTAACATATATTTTACAACACGAACGCAAAAACTAACTTAACCTTAAATATTTACAAAGCCGTCAACCACTTCACCTCACTACTGTAAAAAAATAAACGTTCTCACTTACAAAAGTATTGCAACTCCTCCCATTGCTGTGCTTCACATAACAGTTCATATTCTTCTGACTCACTTTCTTCTTCATATAGGTCAAAATCACTGTCAAAATAAATGTTAGTAAGTTTTGACAAAGCTAATGAAACACGCTTACCGTTTGTATCGTATGCTTGTATAAACTTTCCATTCTTCATTCCTTCATAAACGCTCAAACTAACTTTACCCTTTCTCCCTCGTATCTGATAGAATGTATTTTCACGAGGAACGAAGAACAAATTCTTGAACTCATGACCGTTGTAGTTTGTTATCTCAATAGTTTTCGTCATTTACATCCAAATAAAATAAAAATAATTTTAAAAAATAAAATAAAAAATAAATGATATCACCACCCTCACACGTATGAAAACATCCATTTAAATTTAGGTGAAGTGGTGAGATCTCACCTCTTTTTTCACCTCTTTTTTCACCCACTTGAATTCATTGCTTTATAACTCTCTTCCTTTCTCCAACTCTTCTAACTTCTTCTTAAGTTCAGCAATGTTGTCCTCATGAAGTTTAATCTTTCTCAAAATTCCTTCTTTATCTAATGGTTGCTTTATCTTTCTAAACTGAACTCTACCATCCTTCATAGTATGAATGTAAAAACCTTCTGGAATAGTTCCTGATCTAATGTATTCTACCAAAAACTTTTGTTTCATTGCTTCAGTGACTTTATTTGTCATTTTACTCTAAGGTGAAGCTAGCACAGCGATAATGGATTTCATGACTTTTAGTATTTCATGCAATCTTAACAGATAGCCTTACAAGTACTTCCAGTGTCCCTAGCTGTCCCTCCTTTTTATATAACTCCATGACATTTATAATCTCGCGAAACTTAACAGGTAGCATAACAGATTAAAATCAGATGAGGTTTTGAACCAAAATTTCTAAGCAACGTTGTCAAGGATTTTGAGGAACTAGGGACAGAGTGTGGCAAAGTCCAAGATTTAATTTATCTTCATCTGTTTCATCAGCTATCTCATCTAATATGCCAATATTTTATTCATAACTCGTGGCAAACTCACTAACTTTCGTTATGTTCATCTGCATGCTTCATCTGATAGAAAGTATGACTTTCATTATTTTCCAGAACTTAATGAAAACTACTAGGGACAGAGACCATGGCAAAGTTCATGACTTTCATTATTTTCCAGAACTTAATGAAAACTACTAGGGACAGAGACCATGGCAAAGTTCATGACTTTCATTATTTTCCAGAACTTAATGAAAACTACTAGGGACAGAGACCATGGCAAAGTTCATGATTTAATTTATTCTCTCACTAACAACAAACACAAAACTCCAACACTACTTCATCGTATATGTTTTGTCATGACTTCTTCATCGTAAATGTTTTGTCAAGACTTCTTCGTATATGTTTTGTCATAGATTTCATCGTAAATGTTTTGTCATAGATTTCATCGTAATGAACGTAAATGTTTTGTCATGATTTCATCGTACATGTTTTCTCATGACTTCTTCGTAAATGTTTTGTCATGATTTAATCGTATATGTTTTGTCATGATTTAATCGTATATGTTTTGTCATGACTTCTTCATCGTATATGTTTTGTCATGATTTAATCGTATATGTTTTGTCATGACTTCTTCATCGTAAATGTTTTGTCAAGACTTCTTCGTATATGTTTTGTCATGACTTCTTCATCGTAATGAGCGTAAATGATTTGTCATGATTTCATCGTATATGTTTTGTCGAAACTTCTTCGTAAATGTTTTGTCATGATTTCTTCATCGTACATGTTTTGTCGAAACTTCTTCATCGTACATGTTTTGTCGAAACTTCTTCATCGTAATGAGCGTACATGTTTTGTCGAAACTTCTTCATCGTATATGTTTTTGTCAAACATGAACGTATATGTTTTTGTCATGACTTCATCGTAAATGTTTTGTCAAGACTTCTTCGTAAATGTTTTGTCAAGACTTCTTCGTAAATGTTTTGTCAAGACTTTGTCAAGACTTCTTCGTAAATGTTTTGTCAAGACTTCTTCGTAAATGTTTTGTCATGAATTTGTCAAGACTTCTTCGTAAATGTTTTGTCATGATTTCTTCGTAAATGTTTTGTCATGAATTTGTCAAGACTTCTTCGTAAATGTTTTGTCATGATTTCTTCGTAAATGTTTTGTCAAGACTTTGTCAAGACTTCTTCGTAAATGTTTTGTCATGACTTCATCGTGAATGTTTTGTCAAGACTTTGTCATTATTTCATCGTGAATGCTTTTGTCAAGACTTCTTCGTAAATGTTTTGTCATGAATTTGTCAAGACTTCTTCGTAAATGTTTTGTCATGAATTTGTCAAGACTTCTTCGTGAATGTTTTGTCAAGACTTTGTCATGACTTCATCGTGAATGTTTTGTCAAGACTTTGTCATTATTTCATCGTGAATGCTTTTGTCAAGATTTCATCGTGAATGTTTTGTCAAGACTTTGTCAAGACTTCTTCGTAAATGTTTTGTCAAGACTTTGTCAAGATTTCATCGTGAATGCTTTGTCAAGACTTTGTCAAGATTTCATCGTGAATGCTTTGTCATGAATTTGTCAAGACTTCTTCGTAAATGTTTTCTCAAGACTTTGTCAAGACTTCTTCGTAAATGCTTTGTCAAGACTTTGTCAAGATTTCATCGTGAATGCTTTGTCATGAATTTGTCAAGACTTCTTCGTAAATGTTTTGTCAAGACTTCTTCGTAAATGCTTTGTCAAGACTTTGTCAAGATTTCATCGTGAATGCTTTGTCAAGACTTTGTCAAGACTTCTTCGTAAATGTTTTGTCAAGATTTCATCGTAAATGTTTTGTCAAGACTTTGTCATTATTTCATCGTGAATGCTTTTGTCAAGACTTTGTCAAGACTTCTTCGTAAATGTTTTGTCAAGACTTTGTCATGACTTCATCGTGAATGTTTTGTCAAGACTTTGTCAAGACTTCTTCGTAAATGTTTTGTCAAGACTTCTTCGTAAATGTTTTGTCAAGACTTTGTCATGACTTCTTCATCGTAAATGTTTTGTCAAGACTTCTTCGTGAATGTTTTGTCATGAATTTGTCATGACTTCATCGTAAATGCTTTTGTCAAGACTTCTTCGTAAATGTTTTGTCAAGACTTTGTCATGACTTCTTCATCGTAAATGTTTTGTCATGAATTTGTCATGATTTCTTCATCGTAAATGATTTGTCATGATTTCATCGTAAATGTTTTGTCAAACATGAACGTAAATGTTTTGTCATGATTTCTTCATCGTACATGTTTTGTCGAAACTTCATCGTAAATGTTTTGTCAAAACTTCATCGTAAATGTTTTGTCGAAACTTCATCGTAAATGTTTTGTCATGACTTCATCGTACATGATTTGTCAAGACTTCTTCATCGTAAATGTTTTGTCGAAACTTCATCGTAAATGATTTGTCATGATTTCTTCGTAAATGTTTTGTCATGATTTTTCATCGTAATGAGCGTAAATGATTTGTCATGATTTCATCGTAAATGATTTGTCAAACATGAACGTAAATGATTTGTCAAAACTTCATCGTAAATGTTTTGTCGAAACTTCATCGTATATGTTTTGTCATGATTTCATCGTAAATGTTTTGTCATGATTTTATCGTATATGCTTTATCAAACATGAACGTAAATGATTTGTCATGATTTCATCGTATATGTTTTGTCGAAACTTCTTCATCGTAATGAACGTAAATGTTTTGTCAAACATGAACGTAAATGATTTGTCAAGACTTCTTCATCGTAAATGTTTTGTCGAACATGAGTGTAAATGATTTGTCAAGACTAAACCATTTGGCAATTTTTCACGATTTT